TAATAATTATATTTAAACATTTATTAAGAAAATAAATACATTTTTGATTTTATGGAAGATATATTTGATATATTTCCAACCTTGTGTCGTTTCCAATCTTATTAATATTTGATATGTTTGTACTTGGCTCATATTTTTCTTCTTAAAAAAAATAATACTAAATTTAAAATAATACGAGTGTAAAAGAAAAAGAAACTTGCTCTCGCGCGAACTGGAATTGTATAAATTCATATATTATTAGGGAATATTATTAGGCACGAAAAAACCTCCTTTATCGAATATGGCGTTTTACATTTATGTATGAAAAAAGAAAATTTATAATATATATGAAATAATATTTTTCAGAATGATATATTAAATGAAATTGAAGGGTCGATATATGAAATCAATATATAATACATAAAAAGAATGTACATACTTTATTTTAATAATCTTAATCATATTCATATCATATAACAATATATTTTATACTGAAAAAATAGACTGTTCAAAATAATTGATAAAAATGATATTAAAGATTTTTTCATTCTAATTTTCTAAAATATTACATACGTATTTATATAACAATGTATCGCTTAATTACAAATAAAAATTACAACGCAATAAGCATAAGAATAAAGACTCAATGCCCTAAAAAAATGTAACTTATTTTTAATATTTATGTAATATGTTATTGTCATTTATATACCCTAGCTAGCATTTAATAGTATTCTATGGATGATACTATTTATTTTGCGGGAGCGAATCCTACGCGATCGTTCCCCATGTCGAACTCGGTATAATACCGACCAAGAAATGAATCACCTAAAATCCACAACATACTAAGCTCACTATGAGTCGCAATTTCGAAGGCGCTAAAACATAGCAGTGTCGGATCTGTATCACCGATCTATAATGAATTGTATGTCATATAATGTTTCTATTCTAAAACAATTAGTTTCTGGCTATTCACAACAATCAATGGATTATAACATCAAAAGCGAGAAAAAATACATAAAGAATTCTTGAAAATTATATTAATATGTGAGTATTTTTAATAAAACATTATAATCGATAGAAACTAAATTTGTAAAATACATAAAAAATTTTCCTATTCTGATAATCAATAAATAATCATATATTAGAAATTAAATTATGCTTATCAAAAAACGAAACGAATGACAGTTGTCAAATTGAGATAAATATGATTTTATGCTATTCCGAAATAAGAGGAGAGATTTTGGTATATTTTACAAATGTATTCTATCAAATATTGTTGTATTCTTTCATGATAAATATTTCTATTTTAATATATTTTAGAATTTTCATAATATATTTTCTCGTTTCTGACGTCTTTAATCTAAAGATCCATAGTAAGTAATCAGAAACTTTAAACGTTCATTTGACAATATTCACCGTTCTCGCAATGATGTAATCTTCTGCAGTGAGTACAAATGGTTTACCACTCAGGAAAAAAGTAACATTGGGCAAATTAGAAATCTGGTCACAGTCCACCTTTAAACAAAGTTTAATATCTATTAATAATGCATATTAATATAACAAATAATATATTAAACTTTCATTAATTTATTTCAGCAATTTATTAAATATTTTTAAAAGAAAATTGCCATTAAGAAAAATATCATATGTAATTTACAAATGCCATTCCGTTAAATACGTCAATTGCAATCCGAGTATTAATAATCGAAATCTCCGTTGGTGGTCCAGCTAGTTGGGAAAAGCCCGTGTCGGCAATAGCTTGACAACCAGTTGCACATAAGGTTTTATTTTCCATTTGAACTCTAAAAAGTACGATATTAATAATCATCTCATATATAATCCGTAAATGATAAATGCATAATTAGAAAATAATAACATACTTATCCATAGCAAATTGCCAGTATCCTTTGTGAGTAACATTAACATATGTTAACTCTCCGTCATAAAGAGCGGGATCGGAGCCTCCCAATATTAGTATACTACCGGTCGAATTATCCAACAAATTTCTGTACAGATTATACATATTCCTCAATGAAAAAACATAGTATTATTAATACAGAAAAATAAATTATGTAATATATACTGGAAAACAAGCTAAAACTTTAACTAAAAAAGTATTTTCAAACATGCTGGCGTGTTCAAATGATATTAACATACTCGCTGTCGTAATGAGTGGAGTCATCCAATGTCAGATCACTGTCGATCGTAAACGAAGAAGTTCTGCACATATTATATATCTTTTAATATGAAAAAACAATACTTTCAACGTGTAAAGATAAATTTTGTTGTTCATGAAAAGACAATTTATTTAAATAAAAAAATACGGATTTATAGGCGCATTTTTATACGAACTTTTAGACGCGTGATACATAATTAAGGGAAATACCTTAATCAAGGTATTATTAATAAAGTATTATTAATTAGTAATAAAGTAGAAAATGGAGGAAATTACTTTGATTAAAGTATTCATTCATCTTCCCTTCGAAACAAATCAATTTTGAAGACGAAAAACGGCAGGAATTAAGTTCAACACCTAATGCAAAGAGATTCATACCGATTTAAATAAAAACTAAAAATTGGCGGCGACACCAGGCCTTGTTGAATCATATTAGTAAAAACGGGAGTTACTCCTGAAATAGATAAATCGGAGTAACTCATTCCCAAGATTCCATCGAATTTTCCATAGAGAAAAGCTGTTCCAGGTTCGGTCATCGCTTCCCCGAATGTTTGATTTATAATTTTAAGACCAGCAAACTACAAAAAATTTATGTCTTGAAAGAAATTTTTATAGATTGAGACTAAATCGTATTGTTTATTGACAATGACTTACATTTACTACATCAGTAGATAGGTATCCGGACAATTTACCATAATCGTATTGTATTTCGAATAAAGTACCATTTGGTATGTATGTACGAGAAGTTCGATTATCATATTTTTTATGTGCCGCTGTAAAAGATAGTACATAAATGTAAATAAGTTATTGTTAAAAGTGCAAAAATAAATTTCACTTTGTTA